CTGATCTACCTACATAATCCAGAGAATCATGTAGTTTCTGTGTTAATTATCATCTTTAATTTTAATAAATTTACTCACTTTGCCCGTTTATGCCAATATTGCACATTGCATATTGTGTTTGTGTATGACTATGATGAAAGAGGAGTCCTCTATTTGAACGTAAACAACAAAAATCATTGGTGCACACAAATAAATAATGACTGTAACGTGTCTTGAAAACACTTACCTTGTGTAATAAGCCATATACAAACCGAGCCAAAACAAAAAACTAAAATCACAACCGCCAAAATCGATGGCCGATAAAAGAACGAAAAGAACGATGACGAATGACAAATCTCTTTGTCAATGTCAGAATAACCACCCTCGCCTGCTTATGTTTTAACGGTGCAAAAAACAAAATAACTAGACAAATTCGGGACTTTTAAATTTAAATCAGAAGGAGTGCTTTTTAAGTCAGGTGAAGTCGCACAAATAAGAAATCGGCTAGATGCTGCTTATTCGGAGCATAATTGCATGCTTCTTGCCGATGCATTACCGTTGATTAATAACCGTCCTTCGGGTCAACTGCTCTTAATAAAAAAAATAAAATTACCCGTACAGTGTAAATTACCCGTACAGTGTAAATTACCCGTACAGCGTATTTGTATACCACGATCCAGCATATTTCCGGATTAGAGATATCGCGGTTCTTTTTGTCATCTACTAACCGTGGTAGGGCCTGTTGGCGTAAGCCGTAAACAGCTATTCGCCGACTCTTCCAGCATACGGCCGACAATTTACGGGCAGTATGTGTTTGCTGGGTTCTAGATCTTTCTTCTGTCGTTTGAGCTTCTTCTCGTTTAATTTTTCTTCTTTAACTTTCTGTTTTTTAGCTAAATTATTTTTTAAGCCTTTTCCTTATCTTTTTTTAGCTTTTCTTTTAGGGTTTTTAGGCGTTCAAGGTCCATCTTTTATTCCAGCAACAAATGGTACTTTAAATTATTTAAAACAATATCTTTAAAGTAATTTCCGTAACAAAATGTCATTTCGGTTTGGTTTGGAAAATATATTCAACATATGTTACAGAAATTACGTTACCGAAATGACGAAATCGGATTTATTTGCATGCAGCGACACCTAGAAAAATAGTCGGTAGGTAAAATTTTAAGGTTATGTGCATTCCTTTTAGGAACTATTACAAAAAGTACCCAAAGTATATAAAATTTGATTCAAACTGTGATTAATCAACGTTACCGGAATGTCTTATAATGAAGGTACGCATTAAAAATGTGAAACATTCCACTAAACTACAAGAAAATGATAAATCAAAGCAAAAGCTAATTTTATTGAAAGTTAACACATTGACGACTATAATGTGCTTTTGACTTTTTTGCTGTATTGCCAGATTCATCTAATATCGACTTTTAAACTTTATATTTTTAAAAATAGACAGTTACCGAAATGACGATTGAGGTAAAAAAAGACGGATAAAAATATAATAAATAACAGCAGTAGAGCTTTAAAATAAAAAATGCATCTAAGAAAATGTCTCTAGTTTTGTATAGTTATTTATTTTAAAAAAATAATTGGTGGTTTCAAAGTTGCAGTCCAGGACATGTGATTGTCCTATTATGTGATATTTCAGACCCATAAATCTTAAAAGGGCTTTTAAGGTTAGAAGAGGATGCTGAATATGGCTGCTACTGTTTTTATACCGAGTGACCACGAAATTATTAGGTCTGTACTTATACCAAATTGTTTAACCCTTTCAAGGAAAGTTATGAAATTTGGCTTGAGAATAGTTATAGAAAAATGCTTCCTGTGATGTCATACGTTTCAAAGCAAAATGCAACTTTATATCACTGACAGCGGTGGTCTGAACTGTATTCCGGAAACTTCGGCAGCATATTCTACAGATAAAAATAAGTAAAAATTCGTATAAATGTATTGGTTAATGCTTGGTTTCGGAGATACAGGGTGTAGAAGTTTAATTTTTATTTCGATTCTTTCCAAATAACTTCTGAAGTATCGTCAATATTTGGATGAAAATTGGTGTCTGGGAGTTTTTTGACATGAAAAAAATGGTGATGTCAATATGACTCCTACTAGTAGAGGTCGCCACCTACATGTTTTTAACTGGTTTGAAGAGTAATAATTTTTCGTCCGTACCTGTATAAAACTACCAAGTAAAAAAATATACATTTACGATGTTTTTTACGTAAAAAAGGTCTCTTGGTAAAAATCGCTACGAGTAATAGTTTTCAAGATATTTGGAATGAAAATTATGAATACCTGTCATGATTGACATAAATTAAACATGTTGACTAAATAGTTATTAGCCTGAAATCATAAATTGGAAATTTTTTTGTGCCAAAAGTTCAATAGAAACTGTACAATCATCATTTTTTGCAGAAAAATTTATCATTAATTAAAAAAAATAAAAATTTCCCAAGTTTATTGTTTCAGTGAAATAACTCTCTATCCAACGTGTTTATTTTTCGTTAATAATGACTATTCGTATTTAACTATTTCCATTCTAAATATCTTGAGAACGGTTTCTCGTAGCGATTTTTAAAGAGATATTTTTTGCGTGAAAAGTCACAGAGATGTATATTTTTTTACTCGGTAGTTTTATACAGGTACGGACAAAAAATTATTACGCTTCAAAACAGTTAAAACACATGTAGGTGGCGCCCTCTTCTAGTAGGATTCATATTGACACCAAAATCAAATTTCTCCTTTCAAAAAACTACCAGATACCAATTTTCATCCAAATATTGACCTTACTTCGGAAATTACTTGGAAAAAATAGAAATAAAAATGAAAATGCTACACCCTGTATCTTTGACACTAAGCATTTTAGAACATACATTTATACGAACTTTTTTACTTATTTTTATCTGCAGAATATGCTGCCGAAGTTTCCGGAATACAGTTCGGACTACCCTGTATACAGGGTGCTATTGAAAATTACAAATTTACGGTCAGGTCACTTTCTCAAAAAAAAAACAACATTTATTTATTAAATTTTATAATTTTCCTTCAAAAGGTTAAAAAGTGATGGTCTGTATTATACCTAATGATTTCGTGGTCGCTCGGTATAAAAACAGTAAGTGTTTAATTTATTTTTGCGGCTCCAAACGTGTTTATTTATTTTCCAAAATATTAGTTTACTAATAAATAATAATTGATACCGCAGATGATGATTTTAAACTTTATCACTGGGTTGCAAGAAAATCTGGTTTAATTTAAACTTTATCACTGGGTTGCAAGAAAATCTGGTTAAATTTAACAACTGCTAAAACATGATTTGGTGCTATGGAGAACACAATAATGGTTTAACAGTGATTAAATATCATTTAACAAACTTTTCTGCAACCCACTGTTATTATATAAATAGCTTAAACATTTTTCATATTTTCTATATTATGTTTTTATCAAATTTACACAAATAATGATATTTAAATAATGTGACAAACAAATAACCTAAACCCTTATACAAACTTACAAAATATACATTTAAATCGGCGCGCGAAATCGAAGGATAAAGAGGATATGTCATTCTGTAGCCGCGACTCTAACATTGCTAACTCTTTTGAAAATATAATGTGTAGTATTTCTGTAACATTTTTGGTACTGCCTTAGTAATATTTCCTTTTGTTGCAGTTTCCCAATGAAACTGAATGGAAGGTTATAGAACATGGGTTTCGGAATGGAACTTTACCGGGTGTTGCGGAGCGGTCGATGGAAAGCACGTAGTTATAAAATCAACCACGGATTCGGGAAGCTTATATTTTAATTACAAAGGAACTACTAGTATTTTACTAATGGCTGTTGTAGACTATAACTACTGTTTTACGTACATCGACGTTGGGTGTAATGACCGAATCTCTGATAGAGGAGTGTTTTAAAGGAAGGAACTCTGATATCGGTGAGCAGATTTAGGATATTCGAAAAACCAATACCATTTTCTCCAGATAAAGTTGATTTGATCGTTAAAGCTTGTTGCGCACTACATAACTGGCTTAGATTATCAAAAGAAAATAATCAATCCGTGGACAATGAGAACCATGATACGGGTACAATAAATGAGGGCAATTGAAGAAAGTTGCCACAAAAGATTGCCGAGAACTTCAACAAACACGAAGAGCTCAAGAACTCCGAGCTAAATATGCTGATTATTTTGTAGGAGATGGATCAGTGGTTTGGCAATTGAGAATGATACACTGATGGCTATGTATATATTTGGCTGACGTTATTCCTATTTGAAATAATAGCTATTAAGTTTTTTTTATAAGTTACTATTAATGATTTTTATGTCACTCTATGCTGTTTGGAAGAAGTTTAGTATTTGAAAATAAAGCTTTCAACAAGTGTTAAATTAATTTGTAATAAACCCCCAAAAAACGTGTATTTTGCAAGAAAAAGAAAGTCTAGATACTTACTACATTGCTTGGATCCCTCTTAATTCTGAGTATATATTTCTCAGTGCATCATCTGCCATTCCAAACCATTTTAGCAATGGGAGATTTTATGGGGATTTTAGATGGGTAGACAGAGTCAGTTCCAGCACCGGATTCCTTTATTTTTCTCAATTCCTGTGAATATGTTGACCTGCTATTATTTATTTTCATTTTAATTTCTTTTTCTGTGAATCCAGGAATGTTTGGCTTGCCTGTTTTTATACAGTTCACTTTTTTACAGTTCCATAATGCCTCGTATTTCAAATATTCGGTAACCTCCCGAACCGCATTTTCCTTTTTAGTCTCTTTTGGTCTCTTTCGTGGCCACTCTGGACCTTCGTCATTCATAGTTCACAAATTATGTACACTAAACTGAGGAAATACCATATTTCGATTATTTACTTTACGCCACGTGGAAACAACCAAGTTCTCTTAGCAACTGTTCGAACGATTACGAACGACAAACAACCAAACCACAACAAGTAGCGGACTAGTGGGGTTTTTGCCGTTAAGTGACTTGTGACTTGTGGGGTTCTTGCGGAATTACGGTATTTTTGATCGTATGCACGGGCTGACTTAGGCCCGGTTGTACCAACGAAGTTCACCGACAGATCAACTGTGAACGACGATCAAAGCAAAAAATGCGTTGTACCAAGCCTGAACGCCGTTCAAATTGCCCGGTCAACCGAACGGTGACATTAGGCGGTTCAAGCTGGTTCAAGCTTCGTTCAGGGGTAGACATAACCTTATTATTTGACATATTCCGCTTTTCGTTGTTTTGACTATCGTTTTGTTATTGTTCTTAAGATTTTTCGTAATGGATCCTTTATTAGGTGAATTAACTGACGACGAAGACTTTTTAGAATTAGTGAGACGACATGAACGGCTAAGGAGACCACAAACAGTACGATTTCGACCAAACAATTTCGAAAAATGGAATGACGTGGATTTTAAAAAAAGATTTCGACTTGCTAAACCTATTGTGAATTATTTAATAGAGGAAATTTCCGATTTAATTGCATCTAAAACAAACAAGTAAGTTTAATTATGTATATTTACTGTATCTTATTTAAGCTTTTATTTTTAGAAATCATGCTTTAACACCAGCTGACATGGTATTTATCACAGTACGGTTCTTAGCAACAGGATGTTTTCTACAAAGTGTTGATGATATCAGTGGTGTAGACAAGTCTACTATGAGCCGCGTGATTACAAAAGTAACTAGAGCTATAGCATCTTTAAGCAAGGACTTTATTAAAATGCCAATGGGAGTGGAAGATAGAAATTCAAAGGCACAAGGATTTTATAATATTTGTCGCTTTCCAAGATGCATAGGAGCAGTTGATTGTACGCATGTGAAGATACAATCTCCTGGAGGGGCAAATGCAGAGAATTACCGCAATAGGAAAGGATTTTTTTCATTTAATGTCCAAGCAATTTGTGACAGCGATTTGAAAATATCTAACATTGTGTGTAGATGGCCTGGTTCTACACATGATTCAATGATTTTTAGAAATTCTAGAGTAAAGGCTGAGTTTGAAAATGGAGTATATGGAAATAATTTATTACTAGGGGACAGTGGGTATGGAGTAAAACCATACCTAATAACCCCTTTGGCGAATCCAACAACGAGGGCTGAAAACTTATTTAACGAAGCTCAGATAAGAACAAGAAACCCAATAGAAAGGTGTTTTGGTGTACTAAAAAGAAGATTTCCTATATTAGCGACAGGAATCCGTTTAAATGTTGATAAAGTAGAAGCAATAGTGGTTTCCGCTACTGTTCTTCATAACATAGCGTGTCATTTTGCAGATCCAACACCATTAGTAACTGATGAAATTGACGGAAGTCAAAGCGGAAATAAACATTGGAAATAATATAAGAGAACATGTTCCAAATGACTTGGGTGATATAAATAATAGTTTTAGATATAGTTTAATTAATGAATATTTTGAATCACTGTAAATATGTTATTTTACGATATAGAATATATTGCTGAGTATTAATTATTTACATCTAGAACTAATTATTTACGTCTAGAAAATGTTTCAATATTATTTTACTAAAACATTCTTAAAATGTCTTAATGTTTTAAAGTCAAAATAACTTGTTAATTAATTAAATTGTGATTATAATTACCGTAAAATAAATTACCATTACATACTCTTGTATATATTTTGATTTATGTATATAATATTAATATTTTTTATTGTATGTATAGGATTATTTTTATATTTTTGATAATTCTGATTATAAGTAGATAATTAAATAACAATAATTAATAAATGATATTAAATTAATACAATTCAGTATACTTGTTTGTACTAGATATGTAATATGTAAAAGAAATAAAACGATATAATATGTATGCATATTTTCAAAATTCATATATATTGTGTGTTAAGTGTTTATATGATATTTTTTAATAATTATATATTTACAGAGTATTTATTGGTCAATTATTTTTTTTATTAGTTCCTTGCTAAATTTTAAAAATTGAATTCTCTCATCATGCTCCCTTTCTTGCTGCCTCATAAAGGCTTCTTGCTTTTCTTGCATTTGAGACATTTTTAAATTGTGCTGCTCTAGGAAACATTTCTTTTGAAGCTCAGCTAGTTCAATTTTTGAACTACTCCAATCTGTTAATTTTTTTGTTAAACCCCTTACATACCCTCTAAATATAGATTTCACTTTATATAATAATATAATATAAAAAATAAGGTATGATGTACAGATGTATTAGCTAGAACGTCTAAAAAGTAAATGAACGAATCGGTCAGCCGCGAACAGGTATTAAAAAGTCGTATTTTATGGCAACAGAAAGGAAAAAAGGTACCATAATTTATATTTTGGGAGAACCCGCCAATCAATAAAACAAACTTTTAAAAGCATTTACGCCAACTTATATAAAAACTCCAAAAGTTACTGTGAAATTCAATACCAACATAAGAAACTAAATATTGATCGACGTTCTACTGAACGCGAGTTGGTGCAACGCAATCCAAGTTCAACTTTGGCCAACCGATCAGTTGAACTCTCGTTCAGTTTATTTTGGTACAACCGGGCCTTATAGCACTTTTCCCGAATTCGTTCGGTAGGAACGTTAGATTGTAAACCCTCTGAGGGTTATAAAAGAGATGATACGAGATTAATATTCCTAATGGTTTAAGTGAAGGATCTAAAAACAAATAGATGATTGGTCCTACAATGATAGGTCTACTGTTAACACTCTGCCACGTTTTTCTGCCACTAGAAATTGATGGAACATCTTTTCCTGTAAAAACTCGACCTTTTTTAAAAGATATGGTGTAATGGCGAACTAAATATCTGCAGCGTCTTCAAGCGTATTACAGCCGCACCGTCTGTAGGGTCAAATTATTTTAAAGCAAACATTTAATAGGCGTCGAGTTTCGGGTATTTCCACAATCATTTCTGATTTGACCGAAATAAATTGCAAGCCAGTCCTGATTTAAATTACGAGTCAGCAGAAATCAGTATTATTTTTCTTTTAATATTCTCCATAACCCTAAACCCGATGAAATATTGAGCTTAAATTCATATAGAAACTTAAAAGTTTTAGTAACATTTTTGTTATTGTTGTCTAAAACTTTTATTTTTGAAAAAACTGTGACAATTTTATTTAAAAAATCAATTTGTTGTGGACGTACCCATGAATACATAACAAGTTTCTAGATTGCCGGAGTTTAATAAATCAAATAACTGATTAAGTAGTTCAATAAAATTAGCAGTTTCCTTTGCCTCTCCAGGTAGTTTGTCAAACTCTATGTAAGTTTGCACAGCAACTGCCACAGAGTGAATATTTGAGCTGCTAGTTTAAATTTCATTTTTTGAAAGTGTTTGGATTCAGATGGTCACCGTAATTTTGGTGCCAACCTATATTGCTTAACTTTGTATAGAATGAGTAGTGATAATTTAGATATATGATAACATGTAGTGATAACATGGTTTCGGTAGAACCTTTAGCATCAACTCGTTTTAACGGAAATAAAATTTTTCAAAAATTACGAAATTTCGAGAAAATTGACAGTTCGAGAAAATTGACAGGTTTTAAAACAGCTTCTGTTGAACCTTTGGTATCAGAACGTTACGAAAATTATTAGTTTGGTCAAAAATCTATCTAGTGAACATGTTTAATTGTTGTCTTGAATACTTTGAATAATATGCAAGCTTTTTAATTCTAGCAATACTTCATGGCAGATATGCTCCACTCTTTCACCTTCTGGACTGGTCATGTACAAACTTAAAGCATCAAATCACTCATTCTAATTCTTGCTTATTTAATCCTTTACCCATATAACTTAACAAACTGAACTGGAAAATATATTAAACCGCGCTTGATAATAACACTTCTATTTCTCACTGCGGTTAGACACTTATGAAACTCGAGTTTGTAAATTTTATTATATACATATATCACTATCTATGTAACTTTAACAAACGCAAAAAATACGAACTTCGTTACAGTTCTGCGCTGGCATATTTTCCAAAGACCTCTCCAGATTATCAACTAAGATAATATATATGTTACGGTTAAAGTCCGATATCCGGTTAGTGTCGACATTAGCAGGTTAATGTTTGGGTTTGGTTTTGTTTTTGGTTGTTTTGTGTTATTCTCGAGATTAACCGGGTAATGTCGATATTAACCGAATATCGGACCTTAACAGTAACATATATATTCTGTTCCAACCGTTGCGCTGCTCTTGCCCTTTTTATGTTCTGACGTTTTCTAACAGTGAGGTCGTTTCATTGTCGATTTATAAAATTCCTGTACCACACCTCCCCAGGAAGATTATTTGTAAATTGTTGTACACCACGTCCCAGGATACCAAGATATTCTTTTACGATGAGTCTAATGTCAAGGAAATCCAGCGGTATCCCAATCTGCACACATTAAGATCTGACGCAAAATGTTTTTTTTTCTATTGAAAAGACCGTTTGTCCATCATAATTTTTGGACGCTGTTTTTATCGCTGGGCTCTTATTGTCGAGTGTTTCCCTATGAATTTTGTAGATGAATAAACATTTTCGAGAATTTTGTACTTGAACCGTGGGTCTTTTTTTAAATGTTGTATAGATTGGCACACTGCTATTATATAAAGGGGAGCACACAGTAGATCTGTGAGATTGGTGATTAACTCCCCTCCTAAACATTCTACATTCTAGCCGAATTATTATATAAAATTATATAGAATTTCGCAATGTTATATAAAATTTCCAGAAATCGAAAGGTTAGTTGACATACAAGGTGAATTCCTAAGGATTGTACACTTTCCAAACGTCTCTTGCTGTATCGAGTGTAGTCACATTCCTACTACTATTTGTAGTTGAGCCTGTAGTTATGACATATCACATTTACATAAATATTATGTAATCACGTCGCAGAAATTAATACTTTTGTGGCGTTAACTGGAAAAATGCTTCGTTCTTTACTGGAGTAAGAACTAATATATGGATTATCTTAAACACAAAATCAAATCTTCAAGGGAAATATAAAGGAAATAGGAGTTTTAACTATCGACTTATTGACTACTCCTAATCTCTTTACAAAAAATGTGGATTGGTTAGCTTCATAGAATTTAAAAAGCCTAGAAAGGGGAGCAAATTAAAAAAACGCGCGTTAAAAATAAGCAGTAATATTAATAATAATATAATATATATTAATTGCTATTCTTCACAAATAGAAAAATTAAAAAAAAGTGATAAAATATTTAAATTCAAACTGTCCTACCTGAAAACTTCAAGCAATTTCTTAGTCAATTAATGTTATATTCTTAAGCGCACAGGTAAGGCAAACAAACCGCTGGAATAACACCAGGTGCACATTAAACCGATGGCCTGGTGCCAATTTTTATCGAACCAATTCGATTAAGTAGACTAACTAGTCCAAGAGGACCAAATGCTGAATTAATTCGAAACAACAAAATATATTTTTCAGTTAATGTGCAAGTCTTTGCTGGATCCACACTGGAAATTTTCGACATTGTAGCACGATATCCTCGAAGCTAACACGATAGTTATATTTTTAATAAAAGTTCTGTTAAAGGCAGATTTCAAAAAAGATAATCTCTAGATATACAGTACAGTATACCCTTTTGATGTCATTTCGCCAGCTACACACGTTGAGGAAAAATAACTAAAAGTTCTAGACGGTTCACGGCAATCATAACATCAGCTTTAGCTCTGGCTTGTAACTCTGGTGTAAATTTACTTACTGTTAAGCCATGCTCTGAAAAAAAGTTGTAATTGCTTGTTCTAGCAACGGATCATTTTGCGGATTAGGTTTGCATAATTCTTTGACGAGCTCAGTCCTTTTCTCACGTTTTTTTATTTCATCAGTAAAATTGTTCTATTTGCATAATTGTTTTTTTTCTTTCGTGTTTGATATTTTTTCATCCTATTTTCCTTTTTTGGATAATTTTGCTCATTTTGTGCATTTCCTAATATTCCTTCGCTAGTATCTATAACCTATAATTATATCCTAACCAACTGTGAATCTTCTTCTGCAGAATGCACGCAATTTTCCAATTATGTAGTACTAAGTGGTGTATATTCAGTACTTTCGGAATTTTTTTATGAAGTTTCTTCTCTAACTTAGCTGCCTTCCCTTGATAGTTCTTTTGTTTTTCTTCAACTTTTTGGCATTTTTTTTTGGCGGTAGTCAGGAGAAGTAAGGACTTCTGTATGTTGTTTTATAACGTTTGGTCTACTAGGACCAGCTATGGATGGAATTGGTGCAATATCATCAAAATTGACTACAGCTACCTCGCCGCTATGTTCATTTCCAGAAACACAATTCAGAACCGTTGCGGCTTGAGACCACGCTTGGTTTAATAGTTCCTGTACAGAACCACCCCATAGTCCACCTGTCCATAACAAGAAACAAAGAAATTTCTTTCAAACTTATATCTTTAAACCAAATTACTTAGTTATTCTCGACGTCCTGATTTCTTCCACTGATAACAAGCGCTATTCCAGTAGGTTTAGCAGCAAAATAAACGATAAAGATCGAAGTGGGGTAAAAACTGACTTTTAAATAGAAAACTATTTTCTTGTACGCATAATTTTTTCTGTTTCTATAGGAATAATCTTTCGATTTTATCTTCCATAGGCACGGCAACGATCGATATATTTCAACGAAACTCCTCATAAACTCCTTATTGAAATAAGTACGCATATCAGACATTTTCTGAGAGCTGATAAATAATAACACAAAACCCACACAACAAGAGTCACAAAACTGTAGCTTGAACTCGCTGATACCGTCTACACGTATCACCGCACAAACTGGTTTGCGCAAACTAAAATCTTTAGCAGCGCGACGTTTACGCAGGCTGCGCTTGTTGGTTTGTGCGTGCTACCAGTGCTGCCAGGTCAAAATATTAAAAATCACCAGATTTCTGCCATAAAAGTTGCCAGCTTTGGCAAAAAATCACCAGATTTCAATTTTTCCGCATATATACAGTAGTTACAGAAAATATTTAAAAAAGAACCAAATAAGTAGTTTTAAAACACGTCTTATTAAAAAAAAAAAATATATATATATATATATATATATATACCGATCGGGACAGGTCAACTCTGTGTATAGGATTTTAACGTGTAAGACAGTGATGTAGGCAGCTTAATGGCAAATCAAATGTATTAAAAAGAGAAAAAAAGTTGGGTGGGTATGGGTGGGTACATTTCTTCTGAGCGGTATTGCCGGATTTTGCATCAAAATTTCAAACCGCAGAAGTAGACGTTTCAAAAAAATGTTCCATCAGGGTTGGATCTGGATTTTCGACGAACTAGTTACTCATTTTACTACAACTGTAATATATTACATTTAGCTTAGATATATTATCTTCATTTCAGTAATATACATGAAAGTTTTTAACATAGTTTATTTTATTCTAATTTATTTAAGGCTAAGATAATAGATTTATACCGGATCGACAAGAGAAAGTCTTGGGCAGGGCCGCCTTAAGGTGATTTGGTACCCTAGGCACCATTTATTTTGCTGTCTCCTTCAACTAAT